AAATCGGGAACGGTTGACACCCAGTTTTGAAGCATCGCTTTGCACTTCCAAGGTGCAGACTGCATACCGAACGGAGTAACGAAACACGTTAATCTGCCAAGTGCGCTTCGTGCGTCTTCAGTACGACTGAACAGACAACTGATTTTGTCAGTGTGCTATAGGTTACACAGCTTTTCCCCAACTGTTCATTCATTACCAACATTTGCAGACCACGAAGTACGTTCTCTAGTACTTCGTCTACGACGGAATTGAACAGGAATGGTGAAATAGGGTACATTGAACAAACGCCGCTGCTTGTTTCGAACGATTTGCTTAGCACACAGTAGACCATTATCGTACCAGAAGTATACGAGTAGTGAATAATTCTGCGCTAGTCCTCTGTGAAGCAGCGTCGTATCCATTAGGGCTTCGCGGCCAGCTGAATCGAAGGATTCTTTCAAGTCGAGGATCATGTGATCCATGGTTAACGATGTGTATGGCGCAACTCGAGGGCTTGATGCAGGGTGAAAATTGGACGATTAGACCCACGACCAGGCCGGAATCTTGTTTACTGTTCGTTGATATTCATCCCCCGTAAGGGTGTCAAACGTTGAAGTAAGAGGGAAGCTAACACTTTGATGATGACTGGGACCACACTAATCCCGCGGTGGTTTGCGCAATCTTTGCGAGATCCCTTCTTGAAAATGGAAACGATCAGTGATTCGCCCCAAGATATGCAGAAAATCAACGATAGAGCTTACAAGGTTATCAGCTCCCACTGAGCATTTGATGAAACCGTTTTCTATTTCATATGTACACACAATAGCATAACCCAGATTTGTGCACTTCACACAGGCATCACGGATCGCGCATCCCATCACTAAGATTCACACTGGTGATGAGACCAGACCAGCTCAACATAGTTGCCCAATGCTTCCAAGCCTTTCATTTCACACTTCGGTAACTTTCTTCATGACAAAATTCATCACACAAGCAAATCCAACAATCCACCATTCTCGTGTAACACTAGGTTCAGTAATTTGAGATTCACTTTGTTATTACCAGTTTACTTCACACCTCGATTTGTCAGTGGGCTCTCTCCCATGATGGAAAAGTTGCTCAATCATTTTCAAGTTGGATATTGCAATACAACATCTTTGTTCACTCCTAAACAGTCAAAATCCAAATGTTTTTATTGATCTTGTTACCACAAAAAAGATTTTGTAGAATCATGAAAAATTGTGAATTATTCCTAGTTCCCCATGTCTCACTCACTGAACTACAGGGATTGCACTGATGTAAAAAAAGATGTGACGAGGATGAGGTACTGTGAAAAACGTGATTAGGTGACAGGTTGTTGCCACGGGCATTGTGGATAGAATTTATTAGCAATTGGAAAATTGCAGGGGGAAAAAATAATTTCTGTTAGCTGATGAATGAGTTCCAATTTGAGGATGCGGTGAATCAAAATGTGGAAAAGAAATCAAGACCGGTATCTCATGCGCAAACTGTGTCCGATCTTTTCATCTCTTGTGCGCTAAACTATCGGCAAAACGAGTCAAACTATCAGTCTCTCAGACAGACCATCTCTGGTTCTGTGGGGAATGCTCCAAGCTGCCCATTATCAAATGCATTATGGATATCATACATAGATTTGAAAATCTACTAGCAGCCGTCGAGGACAGGGCAAAATTACAAATTGCTTCTCTCTCGAAGCGAAGATAGGGACCCTCGGTCCTCAGATCACTCCCGAAAGCCCAAACCCAAGGCCGTCAAAACGTCCGAGAAGTGCCTTTAAC